AATTGGCTTAGTGGGATACGGACAAGATACAGTCAGATTCAGGAGCTTACCTGAGGGATGACTCCTGACCACAGCTCATGAGGCCACCCTGAATGTAGCAGCCTTCCTTGTGCTAAGCATTCAGATCATTGGAGGAAAGTGAGGAAGCCCTAAAAGACCTGTCAAGGGATGACCTGGTTAAGTAGTAACTAACTGTGCCAGGGAGGATTTAAAAATCTGATGCCAGGATGCTGGGCATGCCTGCCCTTTCTATTCATAATCCACATTAAGTTTCTGGGCAGGTATTTTGAATTTATACTAATGTTACCCAGTAAGATTCTTTTGTTCACACCATTAGGAAAATTGGCCTTCATTGAAGAAGAAAATATTAATATGTTAGGCCTAGAAGCACAGAGCATGTCTGTATTTAATGAGTCAATGCCAGTTTCCTTAGTAGTTACCTTCCTGTCTCAATTATGGAGACGTTACATTCATCAGTTCTCAAAATTGGCTGTGCATCAGAATTATTTGATGCCTTTTAAAACCCCCAGATTTGGTAGGTATTGGGTGGGGCCTGAGAATTTGCATTTCTAACAAGTTCCCAGATGCTGCTGCTGATGGTGACCCTGGCAGCACACTTTGAGGACCACTGTCCAAAACGTTTGGTGATTTCTTCAGTGACTTGCAACCTGGCTTTTAGTTTAGAGCCCAAATGGGCTGGGTTTAAAAAAGATGGTGTTGTCCAAGAAAGGTAGTGGCTCCATGGATTTTTTAATTTATTTTTATTATTTTAAACATATTTTTATTGATTTCGGAGATGAAGGGAGAGAGATAGATAGATAGAAACATCAATGATGAGAGAGAATCATCGATCAGCTGCCTCCTGCACACCCCACACTGGGGATCGAGCCCACAACCTGGGCATGTGCCCTGACTGGGAATAGAACCATGACCTCCTGGTTCTTAGGTCAATGCTCAACCACTGAGCCACACTGGAGGGGCTCAATGAATTTTTAAAAATGATTGCCATGCCTGGGTTTTGTTGGCCTGGGTCTGGCCAGCTGTTTGGAGTTGGCTGGTTCCAAAGGCTGGCGTGTGTTACCATGGTAATATTCTTCCCCAGGCAGGAAGGCCCTGAGGTCGGTTTTTCGCAACTGCCCATGTGTTTTCGTCATGGCTTTTCCCATAGGGTGCTGCATCCGGCGTTCCATGCCATCACTCCCGGTTGGTGTTCCCAGGAACCTGGGTACAGTAAGGAGACTCCAGGCCCTCTCTTTATCCAGCCTTGTAAATGAAGTGAGCTTCCTTTGTCGATGCAGGACCCAGCGTGCTGAGGGCAATGGATTAGATGAAGCTCACTTGGATACAAAGGAGAAGTGGTTGGCAGGGGCATCCCAAGGCTGTGGGGAAGGTGCTTTCCGCTCCCTTGATTAGCAGCTCTTGCCCTGTAGAGCTGTGTCTGGATTCTCAGCTCGGGAAGGCGTGCCTCCCCTTCAGCATTTAGCATGAAGGTTATTACCTCTCTGGATGCAGGGCATGGCGGAGATGTCTGTGGCACGTGACTGCCGTGGGATTTCTTTGTTCTCCTGCCAGGGTTCTCCTTGAAGGCCACACAGATATCCCGGTGTTCTTCCCTTAGGGTGGAGCACACATGGTGTCCAGGTGGCCACAGCTCGGCAAAGGACGACAGTTCAAGGTGTGGCTCTGCATATCTTGTATGGGTAGAATTCTAGTTGCTACGGGCCCTCTCCTTTCCTGTGTACCTCTCAACAGATGAGATAGACCAATCACAGGGCCGAGGTTTGAATATCAGGGGACATCACAGTCAATTTTCAAACAGGGGACTTTAAAAAATGCTCCCCTGAAGTGTTTCTCTGAGATAACTTTTTGGTCACATTGGACCAGGTGCAATGCTTTTGGTTACTCATGTCTGTCTAAGAATGGAAGTGGAAGCTAGGACAGACATGGGACAGGCACTGGACAGCGTTTCACTATTTAACCCAGGTTGATTAACAACACCGTGACTTTAGGAAAGCTTATTGCAAGTTTTTGTGACAGCCTTAGCGTGTTACTTAGGACGTACATAAGACTCTCTCTTTTTGTGGTAGATATTACCTTGGGGTCCTGTTCTATAGCCTGAATGGATCAGAGGGCCCAGAGATAAGAGCAGATTCCTAACCATAACGCATTCAAACTCAGTGGGTCTAAGGGGAAGAGATGGATGTTTACAATCCTATGTGTGACAAATGCCTGATGTATACATTCTTACATAATCCTTGGAACATCCAACTAGGACTTTTTAGGCCCATTTCACAGGTGGGGAAACTGAGTTTCAGGAGGTCGAGAAGTGACCTGCCCAAGATCAGAACCTGAGCAGGGAGCATTTCCACCTCACCTGTGTACAATACTGTCTCCCACCAGATTTCATTCCTTCTTCATTCCTTCCCACCCAAATACATCTCCCTTTTCCAGAGTATCTGTGGCCTGAAACAATATTATGAGCAGGGAGGGCTATTCACTTTTAAGCAGCTAAATCCATCATTATGCCTCTGGATTCAGATTACCAAAATGTTGTGGAACTACTCACTATACTTTTTAAATATACATTCTAAAAATTAAGTTTTAACAGACATATAGAAAAGTACACAGATTTTAAGTGTTCAGATTAATGACTTTTTATAAACTGAACATACCTAGGTAACCACCATCAGATCAAAAAAATGGAAACCCAGTTATATTTTAATTCTTAAGATTCTTTTGTTTGTTTTTGCCAATATGAACCTCTGGTTAGAAGTATCTTATAACTGACCTGTCATAACATTTGTGCCACCCAACTCTGTCACAGCAATATTTGAAGATCCCCAGAATGCTGGGTAGTAACAAGTCAGCTAATGAATGAGTCAGTCACTGATAAGCCCTGTCTACAAATGGTCCAGAACTGCAGAGGGGGACTTCAGGAAAGAGAGAACCGTAACTCCTGAGAGGACTTAGGAGCAGAAAAGTCATGGAATTTTACAGCTCATCTCATAAGTGGAGCTCAGGGAGGTTGAAGAGATTGCCCCCAGCCTCAGAACAAGGAAGCAGGACCAGCAAGCAGCTACACACACGCACATACCCGGAGTACACATGCACACACGCATGCACACCCCAGATGCATGCTGCTCTCTGACAGGTCCTCGTTGAAATGGATCCTGACCAGGAAGGAAGCCATTGGCAATACTATCTGCACAGGACCAGTGATGTCACCACCCATGGTCACCACTCACAAACACTACCCACCAGCTCTAGGGTTTGGTGCCCTACACCCCAAATGCCCAGATGCCCTACCTCCCCCATTTTGCTCTCAAATGGGTCACTGGCAAAGAGACAACGCTGTTCACCCACCATGGCATGTTGGGAAAGTTGCTGGATAAAACTAAACCCTGTCTGTGGCCAGAATATGTCATGAGTGAGGATCCCATTCAGCAAAGCCTCTAGTCTCCCCAGACTGCAAAGACCGAGGGACTCAGCCAGCTGTGCCACTTCCCAGCCACCATACCACAGGCGGCCCAAGCTAGCAGAGGCTCGGCAAATGGCATGGCACTGCTTCACGACCACGCTTATCCAGCAGCTTCCTATGGGCTGGGTTGGTGCTAAGTGCCGCACACGGATCTCATTTCTCCCCGTTGTAGCTCATGGGAGAGGTGCTTCTGTTCTCCCCATTTTCCAGATAGAGGACCGTAGGCTCAGAGAAGCTAAATAACTGCTCAGGGTCACACAACCACCTAAATGATGGGGCCTTCTTCAGAGCAGGGAAGAGCCAGTCTAAACTACATGGCCTGGCTGCTGCTGTAACCAGCCAGTCAGCCTGCGATGTGCCAAGCATTGTTCTAGGCGCTGGGGAGACAGCCGTGAGGCAGTGGGTGCAGCCTACACCCTCACAGAGCTGACGGTTCTTGAGCAGGATCCTCTGGGGAAGAATTATCTTGGAAATTTGTGTTTCAGGAACTTTCAGAGAAAGGCTTTCCCCCCAAATTGTGCCCCAGCTTCCTCTTTATCTTTGAAGCCCCGCCCCGAGTCCTGCACGCTTTTCCCATGGGGAGATGATGGCTGAGAGCCAGGTGTACCTGAGCTTGTGTGTAGCCTTTGCCCTATGAATAAGGAGCTCACTGAGCAGTCCGCTCCCTTAAAGCACCTGCCCGTCCTCACGTCCCCCAGCCCCACACCCTGCAGTCTCCCCGTTCCACCCCAGCCCTGCTCATGGGAGAGGACAGGTGTGGGCCCAGAAGCTCTTCAGCTGAGGAACTCCACCTCCATCCTGGCACACCTTGTCGGGCCAGCCGACAGCACTCAGGCCAGACTGACAAGAAAGTGGGGGTGGCGGGGGGTACGGCTACCCTGCTCACACAGCCCTGCCACCTCCACCTGGCCTCATGTCTGTTATTCCCGGCACCGCACACAAAGAGCCGGGTGCTGCTGCTGGCACTCAGCTGCTGGAGTGGGGAGGGCGAGCAGTGGTGAAAAGCTTTTCTGAAAGGCCAGGGTGGAGGCAGGAGTCACCCAGGTGATCCAGGCGGGTCCCCTGGGACCCCAGCCCAGGACCGCAGTGAAAGGTTATTGCTAATTGGCGAGCTCCTGATGTGGCTGCATCTATTTAGCACCCCCCTCCCCAGAGACTTCCAGGATGGTCTTGGCACAGCGTGTGATGCGAGAGCTCCCCGCCTGAGTCTGGCACAATCTGCCTGAAATTGTGAACATGGAGCCTCTTGGTTTTGTAATTTGTATTTTTGTTGTTGTCATCCCCTGCCCATTGTTTCTGGTAGATTTAGTAGCAGCAGCCACCCTGACTCTGGTAGCCCCTCCCTGGGCCCTCTCCGTGGGCTCTTTCCACCCCTAGCCATCCCCCTCCATCTATCACCGGAGACCTTGCTGGGGTCAGAGAGCAGCGCCGTCCTGCCCCCGGCCCACTGCCCATCCCGAGGGCCCAGCTCTCACCCCGCCATCATCCCTGACACTAACACAGCTTGTCCACCCTGTCGCAGGGGGCAGATGGCCTGTCGGAGCCGGAGGGCATCTCTCTGAAGCGGGTCGCTGTGGTGGAAGATTTCTTTGACATCATCTACTCGATGCATGTGGAGAGCTCAGCGGAGCCAGGCAAAGCCCCCAAGCACGCTGGGCAGAAGAAAACCTACCGAGCGGTGAGATTTCTGCCCCTTGCCTCTGCTGGCAGCCCCAGGCCTTGGCAGGAGGCCATGGGCTCCGCACATGTTAGGGGGGGCGGGGCGGGGAACTGAGGCGTGATGAAAGGCCTTTGGGGACCCAGGGGGGCACAGGGCAAGGGCATGGCAGTCAGAGATGGCTCACAGGGCAGGGGGCGGGTTCTGTGGTCTGAGCACAAAGGAGAAGCAGGTTGAAGGGAGTGAGAGGGAGGGGAGGAGAAGGAGGGGGGCAGGAGGGAAACCTTTCTCTCCCCATTTCTGCTTCACTTAACCCCCCCTACCCCCCCAGCCCTTCACAGCCTACCCTGCCACTCTGAGGGGCAGGGGTGTGTGTGGCTAGATAATGATAAGCGTAAGGGCAGGTGCTTTCATGGCATTCACTGTGTACCAGGCCTGTCCTGCATGCTTTCTGTGTGGGAGTTTTTTTGATCCCCTACCGCCCTGAGAAGTCGGTGTTGGGAGTTCCCCAGAAGAAGTCTGAGGACCTGATCCCCAGCCTCAAGGAAATCCGTTTGATTTGGGGTGGGGAGTTCCGAGAAAAAAACAAAAACAAAAACCAAAAACACACACAGAGATGTCTCTAAAACGAGGAGGGAACAAGAGCCTCGGTACCTGGGTATTTAGCAAAGGTATCTCCAGACACTGTGCTGAGCCAGGGGCTTCATGAAAAGAGTGGATGGAAGCCAGCATTCTAAGCTGTGGGTAGGCAGAAGGGAGGAGAGACAGCTAGACTGCTAGGGGTGGGGAACGTCCCACATGGGGAGGTGGGAGGGATGGTGGCCTGAGCACCAGCACGAGGGGCTGCCTGTGTTCTGGTTCCATCTCCCTCTTGGCCCCCATCGCCATCGCTTATGCACAGCTTTGAGCCGTTTGTCCAGTGCCCACCGCTAAGCCAGGAAAGCCAAGCACTTCACGTTCGTTTAAGCCTGATAGCAGCCCTGTGATGGGCTGTGGTCCCATTTCACAGCTAAGGAAACTGAGACCCAGAGAGTTCAGCTACTTGTCTAAGGTCACACCGCACCTGAGTGGTAGCCAGCCAGTGTCCTCATGCCCCCTCTGTGTTGGCTTCCTCACTGGCTTCCTAGAGACCTGCCCCGCTGGGACCAGCCTTCCCCAGCCTTCCCCACCCGAGGCAGATACGCACCCCTCCTACCCCAAGTTCTTTGTCTAGATAGCCGTGGGCTGCAGGGAAGGTGGCCTGGATAAGTCTGTACTTTCTCCATATGGCCTGGTTTTTTAAAAACCCAACCATCTGCCCTGGCTGGGTGGCTCAGCTGGCTGGAGTGCTGGTTGCGAGTTCAGGGGAGCATACAGGAGGCAACTGATCTATAGTTTTCTCACGTCATTGTTTCTCTCTCTCTCTCTCTCTCTCTCTCTCTCTCTCTCCCTCCCTCTTTCTCCCCTCCCTCCCTGTCTCCCTTCCTCTCTCTCTAAAATCAATAAAAACATCCTCCGGTGAGGATTTTTTAAAAAAATCCAGCCCTAGCCAGTTGTTCAGTGGTTAGAGTATCTGCTTGTGGACTGAAGGGTCTCGGGTTCGATTCCCGATGAAAGGCACATACCTCAGTTGCAGGTTCAATCCCTGGCCCCTATTGGGGCGTGAGGGAAAGGCAATAAATCGCTGTCTCTAACACATCAATGCCTCTTTCTCTCTCTCTCTCTTTCTCTTTCTCTCTCTCTCTCTCTCTCTCTCTCTCTCTCTCTCTCTCTCTCTCTCCCTCCCTCCCTCTCCCTTCCCTCCCCTGTCCCTTCCACTCTCTGAAAATCAATGGAAAAAATATCCTCACTTCTCAGGTGAGGATTAAAAAAAGAAAAGAAAATCCAACAATCTGCTGTGTCCTTGTCCTCAGAAGATGGCCTTTGCCCTAAGTGAGTCTTAAGGACGGACCCTTGTGCCAAGGACCTTAGAGAGAGGAGGGTTCGGGCTGAGGAAAGCAGGAGATTATTATAACATCGGGCCCACCTCTCCTGCTTCTCAGTACATGTGGGAAAGTGTGGGAAGGGAGTTGTGAGGGTATTTCCACCAGAGGGTCCTGGGCAGAGGGACGGCCACCCAGGCGGGGGCCCATGTGGTATCGATGAGACCCAGCACGTTTGCTCAGTGTTACATTTGCCAGTGCTGGGCAGGTAGCATATGCCAGGCCCTGTGCTCAGCACTTCCCAGGCACCAGCTCTTGGTGCTGTTATCCCCGTTTTACAGACCAGAAAAATGAAGGTCAGAGAGATGGGTAATCTGCCTGAGGTTGCCCCGTTGACATGCAGAGCGAAGTAGCTGGCCCCAGAGCCTGCTCTCTGAGCACCACACAGCCTACCTTTCTTCAAACCCCTGTGGTCAGCTCGTAAGGCCATTGACTTGCTGCTGTCCAGGTAGATGGGCCGGAGCCAGCCAGACCATGTGATTTCCCCGGTTCCCTTGGTGCCCGGCACCACGCCTCCCCTGCAGGCACCCCCTGGCTATTGATGAAGGCCAGGGGCTGTGGGCTCCATGCGGTGGAGAGGGCAGAGCCAGGCTGGTATTGGCAGCATTTGTGTCCCTGGGCCAAGCGGCCGTCCAGGCTTTGCTCTGCATTTCCTGGCTTCTCGGCCATATGCCCGCCGCGTGCCCCACTTCCCGCTGCCCAGCCTGGAGCTGGCACATGACGGGCAGTGAGCCAGCTGGGCTGTGCACAGAGCTGGAATTTCAGCAGCGGGGCCAACGCTGAGTGGAACAGGCCAGGGCCCTCCTGCAGTGGGTGTGAGGCCAAGGAGGCTGCCGCACCCCCTCCTCCCCGCGTGTCTCCTCTCCCTTCCCCCTCTCCCCCATCTGTCACCCTTCTCCATGCCACCCTTTCCCTTCTGGGGGTGGGGGTGGTGCCTGGATGTTTTTGTCCCCCTCTTTTCATCTGCCATTTCTTTCATCCGAGCCTAACTCTTCAGGCTCACTAGTGGCCCCGCCCCGCCCCATCCGGACCTGGGGACAGGGAGCTCCCAGGAAACGCTGTGCTGATGGCTGCGGAGGGGACAGCCTGGCACCACAGGGCTGGTGCCGGGCTCTTGGCTGAGGTGTGTGGGGACCTGTCTCTCTGTGTTGTGCCAAACCTGAATCCTGGGACTGCCTTATCTCCAGGGCAGCTGGGACTTTCGGATCCTCACAGGCCTGGGGTGCCTGCGGGAGGCAGGGGGCTGGAAAGGAGATGGGTCAACGTGCCCAGGGCATTGAAAGAGGCGCATTCTTCAGAGGGAAAAAGAACTTTCTGGCACCTGCCACTCTTCAGCAGTGGATCAGGATCAGGTAATGAGCTTTCTGAAGCTGGAGGTACACGAGCTAATGCAGGGGGATTCCCACTTTGGGTAGGAAGCCCGGCCTTACTTTTTGCCTCTGATGCAGTATGACTTGAGGGCCAGAGGATCCCAGGAGGTCTTGCCAATGCCAGGGCCTGGGGAGGTTTCCCCGCGGTTCTACAAAGTTCCCTGGACCCACATTGAGGACTGGTCCTTTCTCAAGGGGCTTTTCTGGTGCCTGCACCCATCTGGGTCAGAGTGAGCCCGTTTGCTTCCTCCCTCGCCCCCAGGGTGCTGGTAGGCAAGATCAGGTTCCAGAATCCAGATCTGGATGCCCAGACGACTATGGAGTTGGGGCCAGATGTGGTCAGTAGCTACTCCAGGTCCACCACGTGCTAATCCACCCACGGGGCAGAAGGAGGATCTTGTAAAGTGGTGCAAATCCCCCCAATTGGCCTCATCTGTCTTAGTCGGCCTACGGCCTCGGAGTTGGGGAGCGAAATGGAGCCTTACAAGTCAGCGACTCTGTAAATAGCTTCTGCTCTTCCTGCCAGCAAAATCTCTCTTGGTTTTTATCACTAGGAAGAAGGTAAGAGGCAAATTCACATGTAAGTGCCAGGGTCCGGGCAGAAGGCCCCAGGAGAGCGAGGCAGCAGGCCCCCAAGGCAGCTGAGGGAAGCTGAGTGGAGGCGGGGGTCCTGGAGCTCCCCCTCCTCAAACACAGCAGCTCTGTCTTTATCTGTTTCATGTTTTGGACTTCAGCATAAGAGTCTGTTTCTGAAAACCACCATCCTACTGACTGGAGCATCCTCTGGGATTGTCCTTCTCATTTTAACTCAACCTGTGATCCTGTGGCCTTGGACGTCCATGCATTGAACAGAAATGGAGGCTCCATTTCTCGTGTGCACAAGCCAGGAGGGTGCACCAAAAGATGCCCGCAAAAGGTCGCAGGCCCCACTGGGGGAAGCATCCTCCACGCGGGTCCCTACAGCAGTGCAGAGCTGGGCTGACTCCCCAGGGAGCTCTTAGCAAGGCCACAGACATTCTAGCCATGCAAGACAGGGCTTCCTCCCTGGTCTTCAGGCAGCTCGAAGGACCTCTCCCCTATCTGCCTCCGGCCAACCCCTTCTTCCCCATGTGGAACACAGGGTCAGAGGGGGGTGCACTAGCACTCCCCCTGCATGTGGCGCTCCAGCCAGCCATTGCGTACTGCTGGGTCTGCAAGGCCAGGAGAGCTGGGGCCACCATTCTGGCCTGTGTCAGAGCCCTCTCTGGGGACCATTCCTGTACTCTCCGCGGGTCAATGGACAGCCCTCAGCAGAACAGCCAGGCCAGGGAGGCCCTCTCTAGCCGTATAAAAATGCTTTCAGCCGAAACCGGTTGTGTGCAGGAGGCAGCTGATCAATGTTTCTAACTCTCTATCCTTCTCCATCTCCCTTCCTCTCTGTAAAATATCAATCAAATATATTTTAAAAAAATAAATAAAAATAAAAATGCTTTCAGTGGCAGTGAGCTCCGTGTGGAGAAGTAGGGCTGTCCCTCTGGCATGAACCTCCCTTCGTTTTCCCAGCAGACTGCAACCCTCCTCCCCAAGTCCTCTGCTCAGCAGTTCTGAGGTCTGGCCAGGAATATCATGCCTCGGGGCACCTACAAGGTCATCTGGTTGGCCCAAGTTAGCCATAGCCCTCGGCTTTACTCCTACAGCCACTGGCCCTTCCGCAAGGCCCATCCCTCCCAACCTGCAGCCCGACAGGCATGTTCTTCCCCTGAGTCTTCCAGGCAGCTTTGGGCTGGGATGAAGATGTGATGTGGGTGGCAGGGAAGCTCCCATCTCTCGGCCCTGACATCGAAGGACTGGTGCATGGCTGACCACCACCTTCCCACCCACCAGCTCCAATCAGAGACCGGGGTTTTGCCCTTGTCCCTGACCTCCAAAGAAAGGCAATCAAGACAGGGAATTTGGAAGGGAGATAACTCATCAAGAAGCCTGCCTGCTCCGCAGAGCATCAAATCAGCTGAGAAATAACAATTGTGTCACCAAAATTAACTCTGCGTTTGCAGCCAGCTGCCTGGCAGGAGTGGTCCCTGGTGCTCCACAGGCTGGCTGAGCTGGGAGCACAATGGAGCTGGTCCTCCCAGGGCTTGGCTGCAGCTTGGGGTGCCCTGGACTTCCTACATCCCCACCTCCCACCTCACCCATCCACTCCGCCCTACACTACCCAGCCCCCTGGCCACCACAGAGATTGAGCGGGGCGTTTGTGCATCCCCAAGGAGCAGCTGGGCCAACTTTCCCAGCTGGGTTGCAGGGAGGACTGTGGAATGCTGGGGCGATGCTGCCCCTTAGTGGAGAAGAGTGGGAGGGCCTGGGCTCTGGGAAATGGGTAAAAACCAGCAACTGGGCAGCTATGGGCCTCAGCCAGGGAGCCTGGGCCTCAGAGATTCTTCTGGACCCCTCAGGCAGCCAAACCAGGACCAGTGGGTTTCCCAAAACCCAGAGCAAGAGGAGAGGAGTGGGCCAAGGAGCCCACCTTCCCCACGCCCCTACCCAACTTCTCTCTTGTGTTCTCTCCCATGCCCCCCCCCCCCCTTCTCTTCTCCCTAGCTAGGGGAGGCCCTCTGGAGGCAGGTATGGGGTGGTGTGACCTGAAACATGGGCTTCAGTCTGGCACTGCCTCTAGAGAGCTGTGTGACCTTGGGACAATAGGTTCACCTCTCTGGGCCTCATGACCTAACTTGGAACATGGTGGTCCTAAGAGTCTGTCCTGTTTGAAAAATCTGATTCCTTGGCATCAGCCTTTCACAGCTCTCCCTAGAAAGGTTCTTGATCTGTGAGTCTTCGCAGAAAATAGCTTGTAGAACCTTGGCCCAGAGCCTGTAGATTTATAAACGGGTCTCAGTTTGTCCATCTGTGGGAGGGGAAATTGTTTCATCCTACCCTAGAGCAATGCTCAAAGCTCATTTTTCAGTAACGGTCATAAAATGTTCTGAGAGGAATATTACTAGAATATAGGTTAAAGACTAGGTAATGTTTAAATGCTTTGCTTTTTTAATTTTATTCAAATTTTTAAAACAAATTTTCTGCAAAAGTACTGACTCATTTCCATGACTGAGAATCGAGGACATCGGCCCCTTGCTCCTCAATTCCCTGCCCTTCCTGGCGAGGGCCAAGGGCCTGCCACCAAGTGCGAGCACAGCCCTTGTTGACGGGGTGACTGAGCGCTCCCCACGGATCCATATAACAAGCGAACCTCCTCTCTCCCCCAGATTGCGGAGACGTATGCCTTCCTTCCACGGGAGGCTGTGACCCGGTTCCTGATGAGCTGCACAGAGTGTCAGAAGAGGATGCACTTTAATTCCAACGGCCTGGAGCCCAAAGGTAGGGGAGGAGGTGGGCGCGCTGGAGGCTGGCAGGTGCGGGGGCTGTGCAGGGAGAGGCTCTCCCACCGGCAGGGCCAGCGCAAACAGAAAAGTGCAGGTCCAGCCCTTGTCACAATTCCCAGAGGCTGGTGTGAGTCCATAGGGCTGCCCAGAGAGCCTTGTTTTTTATTTGTTTGTTTGTTTTGTTAATCCTCACCCGCGGATATTTTCCCATTGATTTTTAGAGAGTGGAAGGGAGAGGGGGGAGAGATAGAGAGAAAGAAACATGGATGTGAGAGAGACACATCAATTGGTTGCCTCCCGATAGAGCCTGCAACTGAGGTACATGTCCTTGACCGGAATCGAACCCAGGACCCTTCAGTCCGTGGGCTGATGCTCTATCCACTGAGCCACACTGGGCAGGGCTGTTTTTTGTGTGTGTGTTTTTAAAGGCAAGTTTCACTGAAAAACAAATAGTACATCCCTACTGCCCTTCGGGGCGCGGGCCACAATTCTCCCACGAGGCTCTGGATGGAAATGCCCCCCTCGCCTGCCCCATTCCCTAAGCTCTGTAATTCTTCCACCCAGGTCTCTCCCTCAACAGCGTCCCCTGGGTTTGGTCTTGCTGACCCAACTGTAAGCCCTCAGAGGATAGGAGCACAGCCCTATCCTGAGCCACCCAACTGCCAGCAGTAGGTCTACTCTAAGTGTTTGTCTCTCCTTGTGCACAAATCGGAAATCTAGGGGCATTGGTTAGAATTTAAAATGCCCAGAGCCCTTGTGACCAGCCCGGTTGGTCCCTTGGACCGACATCCATGCTGTCCAGCTCTGCCGACACAGTGAGAGGCAGCAGAGACCCCCACATTAGTCCCCCACACACCGAACCCCAGCATCCCGGAGGCCTCCAGGAAGTCCCAGGGCCATCTGTTCACGGGCGGCTTAGGCACAGTGAGATGGGCCAGTGCATGTGACGGATGTGGTATCATTTGCCCTGAGAAATGGTGCCCACGTGGGGGATTCATCAGGGCTTCTAGGCTGCTCCTGGGCACCAGGCCTGCACAGGTTGCTGCGGTCCATGGGTGTTTTGCCTGAGGATGGGAATAGACTCAGAATGAATGGTGAGCAGCTTACTCAGGTGCCATCCTACAAGTCTGGAAAGGGAACACCAACAATGAAGCCCAAACAGGTGACCACAGAGGACCTGGAGCGCGGGAGTAGAGGAGTTTCCCTCATTCTGGTTGTCCCTGAGGCACATGAACGTCAGGGACAACTTCTGACACCGGCCAACTCATCAGGTGCAGCCGCTGTTCTGCCCGTGGGGGCCGACAGGCCAGCGCTGCTTGTCAGGTACCTCAGAGAGCTTCTACAGCTTGAGGGACAGGAACACGTCTAGTTAATCCCGCATAAATGCTGGGTTCCTGGTTTAAGAGCAGGGCCTCCAGGCCACACCGGATGAGTTAAAATCTCAGCTCTGCAGCTCAACAGATGTGTGTCCTGAACAAGTGACTTCATCTGTCTGAGTCTCAGTGGCCTCATGTGTAAAATGGGTTAATAATGGTAGTCACCTCCTGGGCTGATGAGGCTTGAGAGTTCATTGCTGTTCCTGGCGCAGGGCTACCACGCCCAGGAGGGGTGACCTGTGGCTGTTGCCGTTGTTGTGATAGCCCTGGATGCTAGGGTGAGGCCCCTGCGCCATGCCGCCTGGCCCGGGCTGACTGGCTGTAGCCTGTGGGCCCAGACAGCAGTTGGTACCTGCAGATGGTCCTAGAAGGGCTTTTCCTGCTGCGCTCCCCACCCTGCCCGGGCCTGGGTCCCAGGGGTGCCCACCCACCCACCTGTCCTCTCCTGTTCTGTCCTAGTTGTTTCCATAGCAACTGGGGTAGTCAGATACAGAATCCGTTCGCCTGGGGGAACAGAGGCAAGGCCAAGAGGGGCCTTTGTGGGCTGCTCGGGTATCTGCAGGCTCCATCTCTGCTGCTCCCTTGCTCTCTGTGGTGTGGAGAACGTTCTCACCTCCCCCTTTCCTCGGGCTGCAAGGTCTCCGGGGCTGCAGTTCCACTCCTCATCTGTGGGCTTCCGCGTGGCTGGGAGGGCGATGCTAGCACAGCAACAGCCTGTTTTTTTGTAGCTGCCATCACCATGCCTCCACCCCAGGGTAGAAGGAGGGGGAGAAGGGAGGGAGGGAGGTGGGGAGGGAGGGAGCACACAGCCGGAAGGAGCCGCCTAGAATGTAAACCAGCTCTGTGGGCTCTGGGCTGGAGCCTCTCTCTCCGAGGCCTGCCCCAGACAGGACCTAGGGAGACAGCGGGAGGCTGTGCCTGGCTCATCCTGGCCTGTCCTTGGGTGGAGTGCCACTCCTTTGTCCCAGGAGCGGAGCTTCCCCGGCAGGGAGCACAGGAGACACTGGGGAAGCAGGAGATGGGGGCGCCCATGGAAGGGCGTGAGCTTGGCCTTGCCTCTGTTCCCTCAGGCAAACGGATTTCGTATCTTACTACTCAGTTGCTGTGGAAACAATTAGGATGGAACCGGAGGGCACAGGTGGATGAGTGGTCACCCCTGGGGCCCAGGCCCAGGCAGGGTGAGGGGTGCAGCAGGGAACTCTGTTTCCTGCTGTGTGTCCCTCAGCTGGTTAGAGGACCTCTCTGAACCTCACCTGCTCATCACAGCTCCTAGGAGCCTGGGAGGTATCTGTCCCGGCTCACAGCTGAAGAACCAGGAGAGGTGTCATGGTGCAATCACTTGTCCAAGGTCCCCAGAAGGCAAGAGAATTTGTCTTCTCATCAGCACTTCCCTCCTGGGGCTATTGTAAGGACTCAGTTGAATTAAACAACCGTGTTCTGTAGGGCGCCTGGTGCAGTGGGAACATCAGCCTGGACCCCATGTGATTACACATGGAATCCAGACAGTGTCCGGGTGTCCCACAGGGAGACACACAGTCAGTCACCCACTCCGGTGAGCACCCTGGGTCCACAACCTGGACGCTGGGCAGAGGGAAGGGAGGGTTTGTTCCTGGCAGCTGCCAGAGGGGAGCCTTAGCCTCTGAAAAGCTTCCCTGTCTGCTTAATGGCCAGAGGCCTTAGCTGCCCGGACCACCCTGGCCAGCTGGCAGGTTCTCCTTTCTCCTGCCCCAGCTGAGAGCCTGGGGCTCCTATCTCCGCCCGCCTCGCTGGCCTCTCTGGATGCACTCAGCTGCACCTACCGCTTTCACAGGCACCCCTGCCAGGCCAGCCCAGGCTCCTCCCTCTCCCACCCGCCCACAGGGAAATCAGAGCCTGCATCTGGCCACAGAGGCCAGCCCTGTGTTCCTGTCCCAGGAAGGCGGGGCAGGAGGGGGACAGGGAACAGGATGGAGAGTTCTTGAGGGGCTGCTGGGAGAACGCCTCGCTTCCTGGCCGAGGGTTAAAAAGAAAGAAAGGAAGCCAAGCAGCCTTCCCTGCTCAGCAGTTTGTCCCGGCCGAGTGTGGGGGCCTGGACAGCCCCAGGTCCTCCCCCAGCACCAGAAGCACAAACAAAGGAGGCTGCTGAAGATCAGGAAGTCCGAGGATGGGAAATTCCAGGGCCTCCCGACTCCACCCTCTTCCCCTACCAGCTCCTGAGCAAGTCCAGGTGGAGAGGAGACAGAAAATGAGAACTGGTCTCTGGAGGCACGCTGCTGTTTCCCCTGATGTGGCAAAGTATTGTTTGTACGGCGGCAAACTAGGAGTTCGCACTGGGCGGTGCCAGTTACCTATGGAAAGGTTCCTTCCTCCTCAGCAGAGCCGTCCACTCAGAAGGAGGCTGCTTGGCAGCCAGGCCCAGACTCCTCTGTGTGGTTTCCACCCCCTCGGGTCTGGCTCCTCCAGATGCCCCGCGTCCAGCCCGTTCTTCGACTGTGCAGAGGCTCCGTGCCGGCCGGTCCTCCCGGCCCTCGTCCTCACTTGCTGGGTGGCATGGGAGATTGCCTGGCTCTCCATGTGCTGTTGACCCTTCTGTAAAAGGGGGTATTGATGCTAGTCCCCACCACAGGGAGTTCTCGGGAGCATCAAGCAGAAGGGTCTGTGTGCAGCTCCTCGCGAGTGCTCAGTAGCTGTCAGCCGCGTGCACGCAAGTCCTGTTCAGGTCCTCTCTCCACAGAGCTGCCTCGAGTGCCTTCTCCTCTGAGCTCTGACGGACTGGCCATCAGCCCCACCCTGCTGAGTGCAGGGACTGCACCTACAGGGTCCCCCCACCTTCCCCACCCTGAATGCGCACACATCAGTGCTCCTTGAAAACTTGCTGGTCCACTGATTGACTTCCTGAAGAGTTTTTTTTCCGTCGCCTTCTGAGTTGGCCTCAGGCCTCGATCTCTCTTTCCATATCTGAGACCCATGACAGGCTGGCTGGTCTCAGGGCTCCTGTGTGCCAGGCCTCCATCGCACATGTCCCTCAACACCCCGCCCTGCCTGGGACAGCTCCTGCCACTGGCTCCCAGAACCATTCCTTACGTGATGCTCGTGAGAACTGCCACCTTGCATTCCACCTCCAGGTGAAATTTGCGCCGATTAAGGCATGCCGTTGGCGCCCAGCTGTGGAGGTCAGAGCTCAGCCCGGCCTGTGTGGCTCGGCCTCGGTAAGACCTCTGCATCGCTGATGGTTTTCAAGGCCTGTAAAACTAGGTCTTGCGCTTGGGCTGGTTTCCATTTCCCTTGGCAAGGAGGTGTTGCGTTGGAACGTTTCTCTGGGTGGTTCCTCTGCCTCTCTCCCCAGCAGCCTGCCTGATTATTTCGGCTCCGTGACCCTTGCGAGCTCCTAACTCACCAGTGGTATCGGATTATTTGTGGTGGCTGGAGCATGGCCACTGTGTGTGTTGATCACAGCAGGGGCCTGTCCTGTCTCAGCAGAGCCCAGGAAGCCGCCTGTCCGCGTTCACGTGTCTGTCTCAGCTCATCCCCCATCCTGGCATTTATCTCACCTGTGAGTGCCTGACCCCTCCACAGAGCTCCCACTGGCCCCTGCTCCTTATCTCTTTCCCACTAAGCTGATCCTCTCTGTGGGGGCATTTATCACCTCCAGAGCCGTGGGGCTCCCCACTGTTCTGTGCTGTGGCTGAGTTCTGACCTCCCACAACCAGCTCCCTGGCGCATTCCCTCACCTGGAATGTCCCCTGCCCGCCACTGTCCTGCCTCCCCCACAGAACTCTCACTTCTGGAACTGCAGACGTGAGCATTTCACTGCACACTGACCTCTGATGGGTGTGTGTGTGCTTCAGGATGTCCCCGCTTTCCCAGACAGGGCTCCCACCCCTTCTCTGTGTGCCCTCCAGGCTCGGCTCTGGGCACCAGAAGCAGTTTCTGATCTGTGGACATCCTGGGAGGGAGCAGGCCGAGGAAGACCCCTTCCCCAGCCTCCCACAGTGCCATCCCAGCTATTGCTGTTTTGTTCTAACCAAGCTGTACCTGACTTCATTAAAGAGACTTCCTCATAAGCAGCTGTGGCATTGCAGGGTGACCAAACACTGAATCACCGTGCCTCTCTGACCAGGGACCCTTCTCACATACCATGTTGTCTAACAGCTTTTCACCAGACACGCCGTCTTTGGGGAAATGAAATGGAAATGGCAGGATTCTCCCTTCTAAGACCCATGATCTGACAACGGGAGCCAGGGCTTTTTCGAGTGACACCATCTCGGTGTCGTCGCTGGGCTGTCTGCCTCACATACGGCATCCACCCCCTGTCGAATTTGGGGGGCCAGGTCGTCTGGGTTGACGGTGGGACAGCGAGGAGAAGAGGCTGCGAGGACACAGGAGCACACTTCCGTTCCCCACCGCGCTGGTGTCTGTGCCAAAGGGTCATGTGCATCTGTGTCAGAGAGCCCTTCTGCCACCAAACCAAGAGGAATTCTCTGAAAAAAAAGTTTGATCCATCCAAGTTTCTGAGACATTCTCTGTTAGTGACATTTACCTCTTCCTCAAGAACAAAAATCGTCATCAAAGAACACAAAAACTGACCCCAGCCAGTTTGCTCAATGGGTAGAGCATTGGCCTGCAGACCAAAGGGTCCCGGGTTCGATTCCAGTCAAGGGCAGGTATCTTGGTTGCAGGTTCCTCCCTGGCCCGGGCCCTGGTCAGGCGTGTCCATGTGTTTCTTTCACATTGGCGTTTCTCTCAGTCTTTTCCTCTCCCTTCCACTCTCTCTAAAAGATCAATGGAAGAATATCCTCAGGGGAGAATTAACAAACACACACACACACACACACACACACACACAAAATAAGGTGTGTGACAACAAAAAGCTAAACAAAGCTCTTTTATAAAATTTGATAAGAAATGTTATTTAGGCTGTGTGTTCATCAGATGTACACGGCCTCAAAAGAGCACCCCTAGTCTCCGGACCCCGGCTGCATGGACCCCATTTTCTGCAGGCCTTTCTATCCTGGCCAGCTAGGAGCCTCCTTTCTCCCCTTAGGTGTTCCTCCCCCTTATTTGCAGGGGCCTGGCTTTCCTTATTCTGGTAAAATATTTATAATGTAAAACTAGCCATTTTAATGATTTTAAGTGTGCAATTTAGTGGCATTGGTTCTTTTCACGTGATTGAGCAACTACCACCACTATCTATTTCCAAAACCTTTTCCTCACCCCAAACAAACTGTACCCATGAAGCAATAACTTCCCATCCCCGCCCCCATCCCTCATAACCTCAATCCTACTTTCTCTGTGACTGTGTCCGTTGTAGATATTCCACCGAAGCAGAGTCACACAGTAGTTGTCCTTTTGTGTCCGGCTTCTTTCACTCAGCATAGTGTTCTCAAGCTCGCAGGGGCTTTCTGGCCGGGCTCCGGCGCTGGAGCAGCAGGTTTAGCTAATCACTTTGGATAGCCTCTGCATCCCGCCACCTGGGCCCTATCACTTGCTTCTTCTCCAGCCCATCTCTTGGTGGTGATGGTGGAGGGCAGGCTTTGGCTAGTCCCAGTGTCGTTCGTACACTCAAGTCCCAGCTCATGAACAGAAGTAGGCACCAGGGAGAAGTTTGGCCTGGAGTCCTGGAGGCAGGAGCTGGAGGCCAGAGATCAGGTAACCAAAACTGT